ACCCCACATCAAGCTGTTTTCTCACTTTTGGACAATACTGCTACAAAGCAAATGTGAAGGGACGTGGCTGCTGGGAGCAGGGTCCACCTGGCTCTCACCACCTGTGGACCTAAACCCCTCACTGTTTTGACCTGAGTGTCCTGGAAAGAGGAACAAGTACAAGAGAGAAGTTTGATAGAGCATCTATCAAATTTAGTCCAAGAATGCAAAACATTTGGGGTATGTGCACTACAGAGTAAATCAGGCTGTGGATGTTTCAAGTCTAATGGCGACACATCCAGCACTGTTTAATCAGCTAAATCCTGAGCTATGGAACACTTCCATGTATAGCAATGCTGTTATAACACTGCAGTCATGGGCAGCATGGCACTCATTCATTATTGTGTTGCAGCTGCCCTTATTTTAAAGGGCCTGATCCAAGACCCGCTGAAATCCCATTGACTTCAGAGTATTGTGGATCTAACCATAAAGCAGGGATTTTCAGCATTCCTTTGTAACAAAGTGAAAACAAAGGAGTACTTTTTTGGCCGCTGTTTCTCCTCATCTCTTTGGATATTTGCCTGTTCTTCCCCACCCAGGCAGCTCTGTTTGTTTTTCCCCACCCAGGTCTCTGCATCTCCAGTCTCGTTGTCTCTTCTCAGCTCACTCTCCCTGCCAGCTCTGACACCTGATGCAGCTTTAGGTCTGCCTCGGCTGCCACCTCCCAGCTCTCTTTCACCTTCATAGCTCTGGAAAGGGTATGAAGTTATAAAGTTAAGTACTTGCTGCCATAACCTTGTGTTATAAAGGTCCAAGGAAGCTTCAGAACATTCCCAATGAGATGATAACATCCAGTGTTATTCTCAGAGATCGTAAAGATCGGGAGAGAGGTTGTGGGAACCTCTATGGAAGATTTTTAAGGCGGTTAGACAAACAATCATCAGTGCCAGCCTAAGTGTAGTAGCTCAGATTCACAGATCAGTAAGGGACTAGATAATTCTTTGATAAGCATTTATAAAATCACTACAAAATTTCCACAAAACTTTTTCTTGCTTATTGCCTTCTGCAAAACTCCCACAAAAAGACAGCATACTGCCGATTTACAGAGCACAAATCCAAGCATCCCTGTCTGCTGACATCTGTACAAGGCCTCCTGCTGTCATTTGCCAAGCTCAGACTTTTATTTGGGCCTGAGTCAAAGAACTGAAATCAACTTTTCATTCTCTTTGTCCAGTTTAGTAATTTGCATTGCAGAGATATCTGTTCATGTTTCTCTTTGCATTCACTAGCTTTGAATAATTGTTGCAGGAAGAGTACAGGGATGTATTTTCTTGCTAATTTACCAAAGATGTAGGTAATGACTCTGCCAATGAAAATGTGTCTATTTTAAGAGCAGATGTAGATATGGTCCATGAGGGGCATATTGTTGTATGATTTGTCCTGAAAAAAAAATAAAATAAGGACAGATACAAACAAATATTATTTTTCAGTAATTTTTGGTTGAAGCAATTTTGCAATGACAAAAAAATATTGGAAGAAAAACCCCAACATTCTTCATTTAAAAATGTGGTGGTCATACAAGATTCAGAAAAAGCATTTTCTAAATTTTCTATATTTAGTTCCTTGAAATTCAAAATGGAAGCAAAAGAATTAACTAGTGTTCCATGAGTGAAACGTATACAGCTGACATTAAGGTCAGAATTTGACAATTAACTGTGGGGATTTTCTATTGTTGTTTTGTTTTATGAGCAAAATGACCCAGTAATGAAATTTCTCAATTCTAATCTAATCCTCCCCAATATCTACAGCAAACAGTAGCCCCAGTGTAAAGATTTACAGCTCCAGTTATGTCTCTGCTTTGTTCTTGAGCGTGTATTTACTTCTGCCCATTTGCTTTCTGAAATTCTCTCTCATTTGTCATCTGACAAACTCCGTTTAAAAGGAAAACAGGCTTCAGACATGAAACACAGCTACATTCCTGAAACATGAGATGAACAACCTTTAATTCATGCAACCTTTCATTTACAGTAATGTTTAATGGATGGGCTGGTTTCATTATGGACAATGCCTCTCCCTGTCATTAGCCTGCAGAAAGGTCTAAAACTCTTAAGCATTTAAAGGAGCTCCATTTCAGGCTCTGTATTCCCTCCTCCCCTCCCTCCCCCACTCCCCATCACCCCTTGTGACTGCCCTTTTTCTAAGTGCATAATCTAAACGCTGTGCTCTGCAAATTGCACTTATTGCTGTCTTCGAGCTTCGAAGAACCCTTCTGAACACTTTTTATACAAACCCTAACAAGGTCAAAGTTGGAAAAATCTCAGCTGGTGGACTTGGATCCCATGAGCTAGTGACCATTTATAATTAATATTAATGAATGGCAGATGACAGATGTTTATTGCCTAAGCAGAAATGTGCATTGCTAAATCAGAAGGATTTATTTTAAATCCAGAGGAATTGACTTTATTTCTTGTATGGATGTGGGGTGGTGGTGGGGAATGCCAGTGGGTGATCCAGCCTCTACTACCTTTAAGCATGAGCATGGAAACAATAATTCTATGAAAAAGGATCCTGAGCTCTCTATTTGAAGTATGACATTTGGTCCTTCAAAACATTAATTGAAGTAAGGAAGACTCTCTGCACACTTCAGCAGCTCTGATTTGCAGCAATAGTGGGTTTTATCCATAGAGTCTTAAGCAGCAAAATTAAGGAACTCTTATCTCTGTTTTACACTTGTGGAACCTGAAGAAGTCATATAAAGGTGGTATTATAAAGAAAAAGTCTTTATCACTGAGACAAAGGATTGCATTCCCAGACACAGTATATTTTTTGTTGCTGGATTTTTTTTCCACAGTGGTCTTAAATTAAACTAAAGCCATGATGCATAAATCTCCCAAGTTTAAATGTGACAGAATGGAAGATGTAACATGGAGATGGGAGAGTCTTGTCTCTGTGAATACCTGTGAATACTTAAGGCTGATGGAATCTCTGGTTTCTATCTGAAAGAAACTCTTTCACAGCACATAAATTAACTTCCTGGACATAGAGACATCTTGGGTAACTTTTCAAAAGGACATGAACAATTTTAACTAGCTTTTTAGAGTTTCTGGTTGAGGTTGGAGTAAGAGTCTTATTTGTTCTGAATCCCTTGGGCAAAGCATCCTGCTCATTTATAGTATCTTGCTACAATATGTGTGCACCTCTGTATTACACTATCTGTAAACTGTTTCTGAGTATGCCATTCCAGACCCTTGTAAAATATTATTTGGTTTAGTGGCTACAGGGTTGGTTTCAGGTCTTATAAAAGAATGTCAAAGGAGTTGTTAACAAAAGCAGGTGATGATCAAATCTGCTGAAAAAGTGAGCAGTTTCTGCTTTTGGCTAAAACAGAAGTTCTTGGAGCAGGCAAGAAAATTTTTAGTCACTTAGTTTGAAAGAGAAGCATAAACATATTTGGTGACTAGTGTAGAGTGAGCTTCTTAACCTGGAGGCAGGAGGCAGCTGGGGACAGAGGTTGCTGATCCCCACAGTCCAAATTTTTCCCAGAGAGGCCAGAGAGGATCCTGACTTGTTGCAGTACATCATTGTACTGAAAGTATCACAGGAGTGATATTTTCCTGGACTTTTGCATCAGGTTCCTTAAAACCTTTCCTGCATTCCAACAGTCCAGCTCCTGTAAGCAACCCTGCTGTATGGGCTGCACACACACCACAGGAACACCTAGGGGTGTTACCTTTTACCAGCACTGCTGTAACACTCCTAAGGCACCAGCCAAGCAGAAAAATAAAACATGTAAGTTGTGCCAAGCGGCCACTGTGCACTGCTGTCAGAATCTGTGTGAGACAGGACCCAGGGCAGATCTCCTGGTGGAGGTGGATCAGGGGTTGCAGACCTTCCTTAGCACTTGAGGGTGCTCTGCCATGAGAGGCTGTGTTCTCATCTCAGTGGGGGCTGCACCTCCTCCAGCCTTTGGACCACGCAGTCTCGCCAACATCCATCTCAAGAGCACAGCAGTCAGTTTGTGAAGTATCCTAAGTGAAGTGGGCTCCAGTGATGCACTGTCACATGGCAAAATCATTCTTCACATTCCACTTCCAGCTACTCATAAAGCTGGCTGCTCACTTCAGTGTGCAAAGCTGTATTACTACAAAAAGCTCTAAATGCACAGTTCATCCTCAGAGGGATTTCAAAAGAATAAACTTATCACATTCTTGGGGAAGAAAAAAAAATAAAAGAAGGCAAGACAGCCTGGATAAAATTCACATGGACAATTTCTATCTGTGATTCATGTTAAATTGAAGACTTACGGGCGATGTTAAAATATTTGCATTCCTTTTGTGCATATCCACTATGACCCTGCTTAGAAACATTTTTTTAATATTTTATAAGCGTTGATATTCCTAAGTGGAAAATACCAGATTACCAAAGTCATCATATTTCCCAGAAACTTGCTGATTTCAATGAAGTCCCAGTCAAAAGTAGGCAGGTTTTTGAAACAACCTTGCCCTTGTGTGAAGTTTCTGCCTAGTATCCTTCCAGCTTGTCCATTGGCAACCCTCCCAGCAGGCTGACAAAGACTCAGCAGCCTGAAAACCTGAGATCCCTTTGGCTACTGGGTCCAAGATTCCCAAGCTTCCTAGGGCTAAATTCTAAAACCTTTTGGCATATAAATCCTCTGAGCCTTTTTAAGAGGCAGCCCAAGAGTCTTGGTGATCCCAATGTCCTTTTCCATAAGCTTCCCTCTACCTGGCAAACTGCCAGTCATTCTCTCAACAGGTGAGAAAATCCTTTAGAAACACATGGAGATGGCCAAATTTAAATCTCATGTCACCCTTTTAGAGAGGGGACTTTTGAAGTCTCTGAGCCTTATGAAATTTAGAAGCCTGACCTGTCATTTCAATCACTTTGAAAATGTATTTGGAAATATTGGCACTACTCAGAGAGGGGAGGATCAATGCTTTGGCCAGCTGAAATAGTACACACACACAATAGTACACACAAAACAGAAAGAGACAGTCAATTTTCAACACCTTGATTTGAAAAGTGTCCTTGAAAGCAAATTCTCCTTCAATTACACCAAACACCAACCTTGGTGACCTCCGTGTGTTTGAGCAAGTACAACACAGAGGTCAGAATTCGGTCTCTGGTGAATTTAGGTAATAACATCCTGCTTCTGTGCTGATGGTTTTGCTGAGAGGATCCATCAGGAGCTGCTGTCCTCCTGTATGTCATCTGCTGCTGACAGGCTGATCCAGCTGGCCTGGGGTGCACAGGGACTCCTGCCTACCTGTCAGCACAGGTGTCACCCCAGGCAGAAGTGCAAACAAACGATGCTCAGAGTGGAGAGGACAAGTGAACCGTGCTGAGAGGGGCAAGAGGTGCATCCTGTTGGCTCCTCATCTTCCTTTACCTTCCTGGCATATCAGAAAACATAAGAAAATGTAAGGAGGGGACTCCAGGGGGAGGGTATAGGTGCACCTATACCAGCAAATGAAATGGTGGAAGATGCCCAGGCTCTCTGGTCCTGGTGTATAGGACCAGGGTAGGAACTGCTGGCCTGATCCAAGTGTTGGAGTTAGCACTTGTAAAATGCCTCCAGGATCTGAACTCAACCACCAGCATAGCCCAGCTCTCAGCCATGGTCGGCAATGGAAAAAGGCATTCCTCGGGATGCACCCAGACATTGGGGTCATATGAGTATCATCTGAATTACCAGGTTCCATTGAGGCAATCAGTTTAAGTAAAGCCAAGGAAAACATCTTTTCTCACTTATCCTTCCCTTCAGAGTGCACCGAGCACAAATTTGAGTAGCGAAGAAACAAGTTTCTTTGGGGGTTTTCTCCATTTTACTGTTGTACTAGAAAGAGTTGAAATGTCTGCTGAGGCACTAGCATCTGTCTCTTATCATGTATAACTTTTCTTGATTATTTCTAGAGCGGCAGACTAAACATGCAGCTCTGACATAATGCAGCATCACATTTTTATTTCTGGTTTGTTCAAAAGCCTGCACCAGCTGAAATAAGTCTCTTAAAAGGACTATATTTATGACCTCAATTCAAGGTAATGGGAGGGCTTGGATTATTGGTGATGAAAAGGAAAACAAGCTATTAGAGACTTCTCCCAATATCCTGATGCTCTAACAGGAAAGGTTTTTGGTACCAATCACTATTATTCCCAATATTTGTACTGGTTCTCCTAGTCTCAAAAGAGGCCTATCAAGTGGATTTGGACACTAATGGACCTCTTTTCCTCTTTCAGGAGAGCTGTAAAATCCCAGTCCCATTCACAAGTCACCATTAAAAGCCTCAAAGGAAGAAAACACCAGTTTCCTAAATAACAGTATGGTTTATGTCCTGTCCTAAGGAATGGGGAGTGATTTTCTGGTCTGCTAAATTGCCATTACTTTCCTGTCTTTGGAAGCCTGTGTTCAGGTTTTATAAGTTGCGGGTTCTTATAAGATGAAAACTGTTATGTAATTTCAAAACTGGTGTTGTTAGCACATTAGTCCTGATTAAAACAAGGCTGCTAACAAATTCCCTTAGTCCCAACAGACAAGCATTAAGGGAATAAATCCCCACAAAAGCTTGTTTGAAGAGGCAGCAATAAATGTCTCCACAAACAGCAAACAGAACTCATTACAGGAATCCTCCTTCTCTGGCTGCTTCTTTATTTAACTGGAAGATATTCTATTTTCAGGCACTGGCAATATCTGTTCTATGGCACAGGGAAGGCACATCCAACCAGTTTCTATTGCAAGATGTCATCACAAGCCAGGGACTTTCCATAAGCTTTGCTTATGAGCTCATGAGTGTAGAAGTGTCATTTCCCAACCATCCACAGAAGAAATTATATCTCCTGACTTCCCATACACCTAACAGGATACAACTTTCTCCTTATCTCCCACAGCAGTGAAAAACCCGACTTCTCCTGTCTTGGTGTAACTAATCTGGTCAGCCTCCTCCCGTTCCTCTCTGCCTGCTTTATGCAAACGGCTGTGGTGCAGGCCCGAGCTATTTCTGTATTTGGAAACAACATTCTCATTCCCGCTAATGTGCCTCTTTCACCACTGCTCTTGCAAGGACAAGCTAGCACACTCAGTATAAATAAGAACATTTTTCAAGTGAATGCAATCTAGTAGTCCAGATCCTATTTTCAGAGACAAATGAACCTTAAGGATCGTCATACAAAGATATCTAAAGTCTACATCTAGAGAAGTATTTCCACTCTTAAGAGGAGATAGGGTAGGAGTTAGTCATCAAATCCCATAATATAGTTGCTTAAACATAAGTAACAATAGCTTTTAAGGTATAGCATCATCATAGAATCACATGATGGTTTGGATTAGAACGGGCCTTAAAGATCATCTGATTCCAACCCCCTGCCATGGGCAGGGGCACCTTACACTAGACCAAGATTTTGAAGGTCTATCCAACCTGGCCTTGAACATTTCCAGGAATGGGGCAGCTTCTCTGGGCAACCTGTTGTAGAATTTCTTCCTAAAATCTAATATAAACCTACTTTATTTAATTTAAAATATATCATTCTTTGTCCTGTCACTACCTGCCTTTGTCAAAAGCCCCTTCCCATTTTTCTTGTAGTCTCCCTTCAGATACTGTAAGGCCACACTTAGGTCACACCAAAGCCATCTCTTTTCCAGGCTGAACAATCAATTCTCTCAGTCTTTCCTCATAGGAGAGGGGCTCCATCCCTCTAATCATCCTGGTGTCCCTCCTATGGACTTGCTCTAAAAAGTCAGTGTCCTTCCTGTGCCTGGGACCCCAGAGATGGATGCGGTGTTCCAGGTGGGGTCATACAGGAGAAGAGGAGCAGAATCCCCTCCCTTGCCCTGCTGGCCATGTTGCTTTGGATGCAATCCAAGACACCATTGACTTTCTGAGCTGCAGGAGCACATAGGTGGGTCATGTTCAGCCTCATCCATCAGCACCCCCAAGTCCTTCTCGGCAGGGCTGCTCTCCATCTGTTCACCCCCAGCCTGTACTGACACTGAGCATTGTCCCGACCCAGGTGCAGCACCTTGTACTTGGTCTTGTTAAACCTCATGAGATTCCCATGGGCCCACTTTTTGAGCTTGTCCAGGTATCTTGGATTATCTAAGATCACCACAAAGAACTATGGATATGACACATGCCTTAAGATCTATATCCATCTGGATTGGTGTGGAAACCAGGTAGGCTACCATCATGCATCTCAACAGCAGGAGAACATAGGTTTAGCCAAATTACTTGCTCCTTGAATGTCTTTGGACCTTAGCTCTATTAAAACTTTTACCTATATTTTCCTCAGCATTTGGAACATCTTCAGCAGTAAGGCAGGCCAGGAAATGCACTAAGTCACGTAGCATCTAGGTTGCTGTGAAGTTTTTGACCCTCACACTCTGGTTACTCAGAAATCTAGTGATTATAAAATAGGACCACAATAGCTAAGGGAAAAAAAAAAAATAAAAGACTGCTGTGAAAAAAGTTATGCAGTTATGCTGTTTAAACTTCAAAAAGACATACCAGATGAATCAGCCACTTGTGGCTTGGGAATGAAAGGAGAAAGTCCATTGCATCACTGGGCAGCTGGAGGTTTGGAGGATTGTTATCTTGGCAAGTAGTGCAAGTACATGCTACAGGCTATGTTCCAGAAAAAAAAATGTGTCACTTTTCTTGAAAATGAGAATGATCTGCTCATTTGCATAATATGGCATGACTGTATTGTTGACAGAGCTAGAGAAAGGGAGTTCAGAGCCTGGGGCATGCTCCTCTTCCTGGTTCCTTTGCTCAGCATGGTTTCTTTGCGTCATGCTGTTGTCCAGGCCACATCATGAGGAAAGTGTGACTGACTTTTAGTTTAAGAGGACTAAAAATGCCTCTGAGAAGGGTGTGGACAGGTGGGAGGGTGAGCAATACAGTGTGGTGGCACTCACCCTTTAGGTTTTGTCCCTGTACCCCATGGGGTACGGAGGGACAGGGGCACTGGTACTGCAGCACCAGTGCTGACAGTGCTCCAGCAGCCAGGAAAGTGCCAAAAGGTCAGACAAGGCTGTCAGGAGTGTGAAAGAACACTGTGGCACATTACAGCAGTGGCTTGTGGTCTTTTATTGCAGCTTTTCAGCTTATTACAGTGTAGTGGGGAGGGTTTGTGGTCCGTGGTGACAGTCACAATAGAAGCAGCAGGACCCTTCCAGAGGGGGGCCTGTTACATCAGTGCCTGCAATCCTGACAGGAGCAGTTCTATGACTCCTCTTGCTCCTTTTGCTCTCCCATGGTAAATGTCTTCATGGGAATGATGAAAGAAATACAATAATCAAATCTCTGATGCCAGATTCTCATCCCTCTGGGTTTTCCATGAGGCCTGCCCTGTAATACTTCCCCCCTCCCCCATCAAAGTGAAGCAGTTTGCATGACCAGATTTTATGCTTTCCTATGGTGCTTTGGGATTTTATCACCCAAGTCCCCTGTAACAATTACAGCTGAATATAATAGGTGGGACTAAGTGACAATGCTTAAATCATAAGAAATTTGTCACCTCTGGTAGTTAACCCATGTCAGCCATGATTTTCCAAGCAACTGTCTGTCATATAGTGCTTTTGAGTACCAAGGCCTCCCAAGTCAGGGCCAATGCTTCCTCCCTCTAATCCATAAAATACAGCTATAGATCTAGTGGAAATACCACATCTGATGAGATAATGCAAAGGCTTCTCTGAAATACCCTGGCTTGTTTAAATAGATGTATTCAGACATGGACTGCATACAGACACAAGAATTTCTTTGACCCGGGGCTATAAAATATATTAACAAGAACTCAGCACCTTGAATCTGATTAGACATGTAATTATATTGTTATCCAAACTAATTTCATGTCTGCATTTAATATGAACTACTGCACTTCTCAAAATTATAGCAAGTCTCTAGATTTTCATCAATATAGGACTTTGCTATTATTAGAAGCAGCAAGGCTTCTCCTGTGTACCAGAAATCTCACAGTGCCTGCAGATCAATTTTTCCAGTACAGCTTTCTGTACAAAGCTTTAGTTCCAACATAAAAGATATTTTAGCACCAATTAATTACTTTATTGCAATAGACATTGCAAGAATTATGCGTGCAACAGTTGTAATATCTAATATCAGGGATGAATTAGATTCTCATGAATACTTCTCTGATAATATATACTCTCTTCATAAGCAAAACACTCTATTGGAAAATATTTTATCTCCTGTTTAAAAATATTTATCCTGTTTTTTTGGTTTTTTTTTTTAATTTTGAACAGTTGCTTTGAATCTGTAAGAAGAAATAAAGGACAGAAACGCTAGTGCATCATAGTAAGAATTCCGTGAGCCATCGAGCAAGTTCACCCGCAGGCAAAACAAAGCAAAGGCAGCCGGTACAGAGGCAGGAAGGGCACGGGCAGCAATTCGGGACACTACGGGAGGGGATGGAGAAGGGAACCCGCGGCTGCCGGGGCCGCCNGCACTGCAGCACAGCCCCGGGAGCAGGCAGCCACGGGCACCGGGGGATGCACACACCCAGCCACGAACGCCTGAAATGCCACGGGCCTCAGCCCGGGAGGACTTACTAACGAGCACATTCCTCGTAAATGAAATTGAAATTCCAGGAGAATATATTCCTCCGGGTCATGTTATCGCGTCGTTTACTTCTTCGCTGAGTTCCAGTTTTAACAATGTACTTGCCTTGTCATCTTCTTCAAAGGCAAAGTAGGTCATAGAAATATAGAATGATTTGTTTTGGAAGGAGTCTTTAACGTCATCTACTTCCAGCATCCCTGCTGTGGGCAGGAACACCTTCCACAAGACCAGGTTGCTCCAAATCCCATCCAAACTGGCCACAAACACCTCCAGGGATGGGCCATCCGCAGCTTCTCTAGACAGCCAGTTTCAGTGTCTCGCCACCCTCACAATGAAGAATTTCCTCTGAACATCTAATCTAAATCTCTTCTCTTTTAGCTTAAAGCCTCTCCCCCTTGTCCTATCACTATCTGTCCATATAAAAGAATGGTTCTTCACGTTTTTTATAAACTCTCTCAAAATACAGAAGGATCATCGCTTATTCAGAGATGAACTTGTAAACATAATGGCCCATGTAATTTTTTCACTTTTCATTTCACAGATAGCCAAATGCCCAAATTTCCAATGAATTTCCACACTATCCAGTTCAATGTGCTGCTATGAAGTGAGTTTCAGCAAGTAGAAGAAAGAAGAAAAAATATTCAGGAATAAACCTCAGGGAAGAAGAGAGAAGGGATATGAACAGGGAGGGAGATGTACACAAGAATGGGGCTCCAGCTATATCCCAATGCTAGCAGAGAACTGCTGGTAGAATCTTCTCTTGGATCTACACTGAAACACAGAGTGATTAGAAATAACATTACACTTTCATATAAAAATACCCATTTTTATAAATAGTAGTGAAAGGAACTAAAGAACCAGCAAAGATGACCATTCTATACTATATTGCTTTACAATAACACTATAGGTCTAGTGGGCACAAATTTTTCACAAATGGCAGCAGAATTGAGTTAAATCATACAAAATGGAATTAAATCATACAAAACTGCACAGAGGACTCCAAACTAGCTATCCTCAGAGTAGGAGAGAATTAGGACTCAGTTTTAAGTATTTTCCAGAGATCAGTTTTCTTTGTCATTTATAAAGATATCAGTGTGATTAGAACAGAACCAGTAAAGCCAGGCCTAGATAAGTTTCTAGTTAGACAAAGATATCTTATTCTTAGTATATCCATGCACATATAAATACATATATCCTGGTCAATGACTGAATGGGAAACCATTACATGTCATTCCAACATACTTAAAGAACTGTGGCTGGGAAGTCACAGCTGAATGATTTTGGCTAATCACCAAGTGAGTAATGTCAAACACTGAATGTCTGGACAGTTTCCATTCAAATAACATTTCATCTTGGGCCAACAGTATTTACAAACCACTGGAATGAAATCCCATACTGTCATTTATCCATTAGTAAGAGACAGCATTACAGCTGGGTAAGATGCAGCTTTACTTCTGCATGGAGGTCTCCCAGTTTTCCCAGTGGTGGTACAGTTCTCCCAGTGGTGGTAGCTCTTTCTGAGCCTCCCGTGCCAGTTCTTCAGGTCTCTCCTGCTCATATCTATGCATCTTAGATGGCATTTACAAATTCAGAGGGGGATTCTGCAGGTATGTGGGTGTATATTCAGATAATCTCTGACTGGTTCCCTGAAATTTAAGGAGTCGTTTTACATTTAAAGTTTCAGAAACAACAAATGATAAAGGCAGATATTGGTCCCTACTTGACTTAATGTATGTCTCTAAACCTTCTCTTGCTCTCTGATCCCAGGCAGTGGTGGTAAAGAATGGAGAAGCTGTAAAATATTCCCACAGAGCTGCACAAGAAGATCCAGAATATTCTCACATCTTCATCTTGTTCCTTGCTTTCTGCATTCTCTTCACCTCCTCTGAATCTCCCTTCCTTCATCTGACCTGCAACTCCTTGGATGGTTATCTGTTCTCTGAACAAATCCACTTCCCCTGCACCTATTCCCTCATTGTGACATACTCCCACAGAGCTCAGTGAGGCATCAGAAACTACTGTCTTTGGTTTTGAGTCAGGAATGGGAAAAATTGCCAAAATTTACCACCCTCAACAGCAAGAGCCACTGCCAGGTTTGCGTAACTCCTTCTACATCGGTGTAGGAAATGATCTCTGTTAAAATTTAAAAACAAAAAGTATTCTCTCTGTAACAAAGAAGGATAGATTACTTTCACTAGTATCATTACTAGGAAATTATAAAAGAGAGTTTAGCCAGATGTTTTTCAATACTTGTCCAGAAGTTTCTCCATGTAAGAAGGCATACGGGTCAGTATGACATTCTATCAGGAAAGTTTCCAGAGAGGTTGCCTTTGAAGATATCATTGGGATTCATCTAACTAGAGGTGAATTTCAGCTGCATAGCTCAGTAGTTCCACACAGACAGAAAATCTAATCTGTTTTAGGCTAGTGTGTACTTACAAGTTCAAGCCAATGTCATTCCTGCACTTTGTAAAGTTTTAGTTTGTAATGCTAAAAGAAATAGAATCATAGAATCATAGAATCACAGAATCACAGAAATGTTTTGGTTGGAAGGGATCTTTGAAGATCATCTCTGCCATGGGTAGCAAACATCTTTCACTAGATCAGGTTCCTCAGAGCCCCATCCAGCCTGACCTTGAACAATTCCATTGATGAGGTATCCACAGCTTTTGTGGGCAGACTGTTCCAGTGCCGCCCCACACTCAGCATAAAGAACTTCTTCCTCAGGTGCAAGCATAAATGCACTCTATTGTATCAACTCCACAGCCAATATACAAAGTTTTAATGTTCCTAGGGGACAGGATGCTTTATTGGAGAGGACTGTAGCAGCAACAAATTCCTCAACATCTTACCTTATTTAAAGCAATAAAGTAGTTGAATACCTAATTTTGTGACAATGGTCTAGAGTTTGGTTTGAGACACATTTTAGTCTGAAGACCATCACACACCTGTGCTGGAACAGACACTTTGCCACAGGATTCATGTTGCAATACCAAGAATCCCCTGGGATGTGGATGCAGTGATTGGACATTCCCAAATACTGATACTAGTGTTCAGCTCCTAATGGGATATGCTAATCCAGGGCTGGTTTCACAGGTTATGGCAGAGTGAGGGACTCAGAAATTGCAATAATCTGAGCAAATCTTCTAACGTGCCATCATTTTTTTCAGGGAAAAAAAATAGGGAGGAGAAAAGAAAAAAATCCAACAAAGATGAAAGCAAGGAGACAAGACAGGAAAGCAAAGGGCGAGCAGCCCGAAGACAAAACCGAGAGCAGAGGGAAAACAACAACAAAACGCAGCCGAAGAAAAGGAAAGCCCCAAACAAAGAACAGGACCTGGCATCTGTTGACACTGCACATTAATGGCCCTCCATGATTGTTTAAGTCTTATGATGCTGCTATCTCTACCAGATCGCCCTGACAGGTGTTCCAACCATTCAGGCTGCAAATGGACAATGCTACCAGTTATTATTAAACTTTAAACAACATTCCAAATACTTCCTATATTCTCCAGGCAACCATAGTTTATTAAAGAGATTGACATGAGCCAAGGAAAAAAAAAAAAATCTAAAGATGGGATACTTTAAAACTGTTATATTATATGCTTCCATGCATCTGTAAAAGGCAATTAAGAAATTTTGTATATATTAATAATAGGGTATAAAATATAGCAATATAATAATGAATGACATTCAGATGAACAATGTTCTTTTTCTTTGTAAAATATTTTTCAAGTTATTGTTTAAGTATGAGGCAAGAGATATGTCTAAATCAAAGACGAAAATTGTATCCCTTCATATATTGTACATAATTAAGAGAAGGAGGAAAACATTTCTGAAGAGCCAGTAGGAGCCCAAGGTTTTACAGCCTCTGGTGGAGCAGGATGGGATTGCCCTGTGTTTTCCCTGTCCATGCTCCAGACAAGGGTGAGAAACATCAGGAGAGAGCCAGCAGGGCTTCAGCTGCTGAGGGATAAGAAGCAGAAGCATCTGCAGCTTTGAAGACTGAATCCCTGAAGCAGAAGGAAACTGAGCTGAGCTTGAACAACACTCTTATCTGTGGACAGCACAATGTTTTCTGGTCTAAACAGTGGTACCGTGTGCTGTTTTATGCTTTTTATATCTATGTGTAACTTAAGTCTACATTTCAAATCTTCTGGTGAATGACAAATCGTATTTGTAGGAGACAACGTTGAGTTAATAAAAACCAGAAAAATAGATCATGTAAGTATGTGTTTTTAACAGTGATGCCACCACTTTTTCTGCTGGAGAAGGGAATCATTTCATAGCTTCACAGACAGGAGAGGACCCTACTTGCACCCACACTGTGCACCTAGCAAAAAAGTATCCATGAAAATAAATTTACAGACATATACAAATTACAAACTTCTGTCCAATTTTACTTAAATTCCTATTCTGGTTCTTCTCTCTGACACAGCAGAAGTGAAAATCTCCTCTGCTCAGTGGGCAAGCCAAATCCTGTGGTACCATTCTGGGTATGTTAGAGGCTAGAGCGGCCCATCAGTAAAACACAGGTTATGCTACACTGAGTTGCTGCTCAGAAATGGACTTACCCTTTACAGGAAGATGTTGGGGAACCAACATACCTCATGGTATGTGTTCTGTTGCCATGTTTTGCCCAATGACAGCTGTCATGGGGGTAGCAGCCCGCCCACTGTAAGCGTGGACTAGAACAGGTGGCAGGAGTCAGTTCCCCTGCCTGTTCACGATTTCTGTTTCTCACAGTGAGATTGGCCTTAAAAAAGACCCTTTCCAACACTGAAGCCTGTCTCTCAGGCTGAGGACACCTGAGTGACAGGCTTCAGTGACTTTCTAAGGAATTTCCTAATCATCCAGACAGCAATGTAGGATGGTCTCCTACAGTTTGCTTTGTAACAGCTTTGTCTGTAGTGATACATGTAGATGCAGTAACACATGGTGTTTAAGACTTCCACAGTTTGCCTCCTACGTTCATGAGAATTAAAACTTTCTGTAACTAGTCCCTGATTGTATGCAGTTATTATATTTTTGCTGTTGGGAAGACCAAAAGGCTGAATTTTACAGAGATGAGCATCATACACATGTAACACTCCTCACACACAATGGAGTCTGAATGGGTGAGAGAGCAAAGCAGGCTGTGCTGAATGTCTGTGAGGAGCATCCAGCAGTGGGAGACTGGAGCAGGGGTGACTATTTGTGAGGTCCCAGCTCCATTGCATAACTCGTTTACACCCTCCTTCACAGTGGTATGGTCTCAGTCTCCCACTGCTGATCCAAGCAGCAGCAGCTCCACCAACATCTTCCCACCTTGTTGGCAGCAGCAGCTGAGGAGGAGCTGGTCTTAGAGCAGTGGAGGGTGCAGACCCTGTGTGTAGCACTGAGGCTCTGGGTGATGCTGATGTAGAGAGAGGAAAGGAGAAATCCTCATGCTGCCAGACTCAGAAGCTGGCACCAAAAGATGAGCTGCAAGTAGCAGTTCTGGGCTGAGAGGTGTTGGTGTTACAACAGAAAGGGGAACCCAGTGCTTCAAACCCTCTCCTACAGCTGCAGTCATTCATCTGTTTGCAGAGCCTTATGGGCAAACAGGGATGTTCAGCTGCTCAGAAAGAATTTACTGTTCAATTTACTTCCTCCTAGGATAGGTTTTTGGCCAGATGAAGAATCCCTACTTGGATTCAGCAAACTAGGTCAGCAGCTGGACCACATGAATAGTTGCACTCAGAGAAGATTTGTCTGCAACTCTTAAAACTAACCAGTAGGATTGTGTCTTTTCCCTGCCTTGATTAAATATAGGAGCTTAATGGCAAGGGGGTTGGGTAGGGGAGAATGGCTTTTGATAGAAGCACAAACAAAATCTATAAAAAATAACAAGAGTGTTCAGAGAGGAATTTAAAAAACAAAGGAAAAAGCAAAACTAGATGCTATACTCAGAATGTCCCTGATCTCAGTTATTCTCTACTACAACACTTGGAGGAGTCAAAGGAATGTCATTTATCTGGCAAAGATAAACAGAAGACTGGAAAAGCAGTATCGAGTAGTTCAAGAATTACAGACTGAGGGAAAAGAAAGAGGGAGAAAGGAAAAGAAGGTAATTTAGGATACAAATGTGAGCTCTGTTACACACTGTCACAAAAAACCTTTATTACAAATTCCCTGCTTATACAAGAAGCACTGACAAGTTTGTCTTACCAAGAGCAGAACTTGGAATGCTGTTACCTTTCAGCAAGGAATAAAAATGTAAACAGAATTTGGCCCATGGCAGTAATAATTTATAGCATTAGTACCTGAAGAAACATGCTATTTCCTTCCTGGAAATGAACAAGGAAGTTGCTGTCATGTTGCTTCCATCCACACAGAAAAATTTTTGAAAATATTGCCTATAGCCATGGTGAAGCACTAAGAAGTATATCCAAGTCACTTGAGAAACTAAAATTTTCTCAAGTCCTGGCACAGAGTGTAGACCACCCTGCTGGTAGGCGAACTACTCAGTTGGGAATCCCAAGAAACTGAAGGAGACTATGGACCTTCGTAGGCCAAGGGTATTGCAATAACACCTTTTTCCCATCCAGTAATAAATGTGTAAAATCAGGAGTCAATGATCTTACATACTAGTGAGAACTCATAGGACCTTACTGGAGAATATCTGATTGAGTAGTAGGAGTAGCTGTGACTCTCATCTGTGCGAAACTTCTTCCCTGACAATTGCTTGCCAGTTAAAAAAATACCTCAAAATCTTAAGAGTCAATTTTAAGTGATCCCCAGAGAATTATGACATTTCTTAAATATTAATTAATTTTAATAAATCTTTCTTAATTATTAATTTTCTTACAATGGGACCTAAATTGAATAGACATTAATTATAATGCATGTTCATAGTGTGCTAATTATTAAAGGATATATCTGAAATAAAATACTAAATATCAGTTAAGGCCGGTAGATAAACACAAATCGAGTGGTATTTCTGTCACTTAAGCTACTCAAGGAACTGTCACCAGTAACAAAGAGACAGAAAAAAGCAAACAACTGTTATGCCCCAGGCTTCAGACCAGTCTGACCAAGCTGTAGCTTGTTCTCTCACCTGAAGATCTGAATAAGGGAATCAAGAGTTTAAGTGCTGAACTGCTGAACCCTTCACTGAATTTGTCCCGGCAGCTTTATTCTGAGCCAACACAGCAGAGTTGTCAGGCTGGCCAGTGCACTAAATAAATGAGAGGTTTTGCTGTATCCCATAGCAAAGTGGCAGCAGAAGAACCCACCACAAGAATGGGACCATCATCATCACCATCATCCCTTACAATGAAGGTCTTGTGTCTCTACCAACAGCCTCTGGCTACTTGTGGTTGATGTGCTGACGGGAAAGCAGCACATGAATATTGCTATTAATTCAGAAGAATTCCTCTATAGACCTCATGAGTCACTATAATTATTTTTTGTTTCTGTGGTTTTAGGCTCTGAAACTCATTGAAGGCTGAACTTTCTGATGCAGCATAAATTTACCATGACACTTGCACTTAATTGCTATGCATTGTTCTTTGCAGAGACAGCACTGGGTTTAGTTCGCATGGTTCACATGGAGTTGCTCAAGTTCAAACGCAAACGTCTGCACAGGATGACCTAACAGCTGATCATGGGAGCTCCTCTTGAAAGTGACATTCTGCAAGCATCAGCTGCAGCTTCAGTCTTTCCTAAGTCCATCAGTAAGGGCTTGGTCACATTTTCAGGCTCAGATCTGCTATTTCACTGTTGTTATTTAGCACAAAGCTTACTCATTAAAGATCTTGCACTCCTACAAGCAAGCACACTCTGTAGTTACACATCTACAACTAATTTTCTCATGTGGTCTCTTGTTAATGGGAGGTTGGATTTTTTCATAGTATTTTGCAATAATTTGGCAGAATTTAAAGAGAGGTTAAGTCAGCATGTTTGTTCACCATTTTAATAACACATCTGCCCCTTACACCTTCCTCTCCTAACTTTGCTGTGATACTCCTAGTGGGTTTAGGCCTGCCCTTTCAGATCTGGAATGCTAATTGCATTTAAAAAATGAGAGTGCCCATTGATTGGTTTGACACAGAAATTTATGTGTTTCCATGTACAAATTCTCGTTCATAGTGTTCTATACAGTGTTCCAGAGTGCTAACAATGTCCATATAAAATAAAATGAAACCAAACAGTTTTACTAGCAGACTCACCTGTAATCATGGAATGTCAGCCTGGGGAAAAGAGGGTAGGGTAAGCATTCTCTCTTGGATAAAATTGGAAGCATAACTTCTTTTGTAGTCACTACTGTGGAAGCAGAACAAATTCTGCAGATACCACAAAAATCTGAGGAAATTCAGTAAAGACAGGAGAGAAAAAATTGTCAGCTGGTCCCCCACATTTAAAAGGATGATGTGAACAAAATTAAACTAGTAAGAGCACCCACATTTTCTTGTATAAAGGGAATAAAGCATTAGGATAAATGACTCCAGAAGGAAACCAATGGGATTCAATTTAGTTCTTGATGTGCCTATAGAAGGAAGCCAGAGATGAGACAAATTAATGTAGAGAAGGGAACAGAGTGCTGGCTGCCTGCAGAGAAGCAAGAAGATGAAAAACATGCTGTCACTATTACTTAATCTATTCATGAAGTAACCTCATTTATAGTCTACTCCAGTACACCTGTGTCTAAACAGGTTATTAAAGTTCTACAGATGTTCATTTAGACATTGTCCAGGGGGAGCCAATACAGTAAGTAACACCTTGCTCTAGTAAAACTCTGGTGTTTTCCCAGAGCATGATATTAAGAAACTGCCTTTGTGATTTTGAGGTAATTTTTGTGACTGAAAAACAGGAGGGCAGTTTCTTCTTTAGGCTGTAGCACAAAATATCTGGTTTTGCAAATGATCCAATTACTATATCATCCATGTACTGTTTAAATACATAGCAGTTCATAAAGGAAGCTTCCATGAAAAAGGACAATGTGGATAATATTTCTTATGGAAATCAGCATAATCTCCTCAGGGCTGTGATCCTTTTTCATAAGACATGATGTATTGGTTTAGTCTGCTGTCAAAGTTGAACAATGGTAAAAACTGAAAAACATCTCACAGCAAAAGCACAATTCCAAATGGTAAAGGAGGTTATTTTTCACAGTGACGTTTTGTTCATAAAAGAAACCTCCAGTGAGTAAATTATAGCAGAATCTGTCCTACAGCTACTCTAATAATTCTGTTCTCTG